AAACCGGTAGTCACAGCCATCAGTGCAACAGACTTGGACTTATCTTGGCTCCTGTTAGTATGCATTGAGTTTATTCAGACGAAATCAGATCAATCTAGTCTTCTCCCACTCAGTATTCATGGAAATGAGACCAATGTCAACCTTGGAATGCCATGTTTAAACGTTACAGCTGATATGCATCCAAATACTTCCTTGTAGTTCTGATCAGACACTGGTGTTTGGAAAAACTGAACTGAAAAAGGAAATACAAGGGACAGAACTCTGTAAGCCTGTCCTAAAGCCACATTCAGCAATATTACAGCTATGGCAGCGGTCTGTACCTAATCGAGTCTGGACCAAACAATCCAGTGATCAACAGCATGAGCATCCATCTACCCAAGGGGGATACGATGACATGTGTCAACCAAGCCTGACCACCCCATACCATTAGTCGCCTCTTACAACAAGCATGGGTAGCTGAAGACCAATTCTAACCCAGATCTTCCCTGGAGACAAGTATAGGTTGCTGAAGACCAATTCTAAGCCAGATCTTCATGGGTAACCCACAAGGTGTTCCTGCTTGTACAGACTGAAGGAGCTCTTTCTTGTACAGACAGGAGCTCCTGCTTGTACAGACTGAAGGAGCTCCTGCTTGTACAGACTGAAGGAGCTCTTGCTTGTACAGACTGAAGGAGCTCTTGCTTGTACAGACTGAAGGAGCTCTTGCTTATACAGACAGAAGGAGCTCTTGCTTCTACAGACAGAAGGAGCACTTGCTTGTACAGACAGGAGCTCTTGCTTGTACAGACAGAGGGAGCTCTTGCTTGTACAGACAGGAGCTCTTGCTTGTACAGCCTGAAGGAGCTCTTGCTTGTACAGACAGGAGCTCCTGCTTGTACAGACTGAAGGAGCTCTTGCTTGTACAGACTGAAGGAGCTCTTGCTTGTACAGACTGAAGGAGCTCTTGCTTATACAGACAGAAGGAGCTCTTGCTTCTACAGACAGAAGGAGCACTTGCTTGTACAGACAGAAGGAGCTCTTGCTTGTACAGACAGAGGGAGCTCTTGCTTGTACAGACAGGAGCTCTTGCTTGTACAGCCTGAAGGAGCTCTTGCTCTACAGACAAAAGGAGCTCTTGCTTGTACAGAGTGAAGGAGCTCTTGCTTGCACAGACAGAAGGAGCTCTTCCTTGTACAGACTGAAGGAGCTCTTGCTTGTACAGACTGAAGGAGCTCTTGCTTGTACAGACAGAAGGAGCCCTTGCTTGTACAGACTGAAGGAGCTCTTGCTTGTACAGACAGAAGGAGCTCTTCCTTGTACAGACAGAAGGAGCTCTTCCTTGTACAGACTGAAGGAGCTCTTGCTTGTACAGACAGAAGGAGCCCTTGCTTGTACAGACTGAAGGAGCTCTTGCTTGTACAGACAGAAGGAGCTCTTCCTTGTACAGACAGGAGCTCTTGCTTGTACAGACAGGAGCTCTTGCTTGTACACTGTGCATCTGAACCTAACAGGGAGCCTTGATGTTTTGTAGGATTTGTTGGTGTAAGTGACAATTAGACTGTGGGTATGGTATCTTAGGTACACACATACGGACATGAGGTAAACTGCCCATCAAAGCAATTTTGGACTATATTTTGCAGATAGAATACATTGTTCCAGTTAAAAAAGGCACAAAAATACACAGTTCCTCCTAGCTTAGTTGTACAAGCATTGCATGACAAGTTCAATTATCCACATAGATAAGATGTGTGAACCCATTTCCAGTGTCCCCTGCCGTGATATCGCTGGAATAGTGTTAGCAGTGGCATAAAACAATACTCATTCACAATTAATCTAGTGTCATTTAAATGATTGTAATTTCATTTCTTCAAAATGACAAAGGATAATGAACAAAATCTCCAGCTTGTGATATTCCTTGATTCAACTCTGATTTAAAATTAATCCAATGCCTCGGAATATTAACAGACAATGAATATAATATCGTGTCATTTGACATCCAATACAAACACTTGTTCATTTGATTTTAAATTAAAATCATTGGGATTTAAATTAAAATCAGTGTAATTTAATTCTTCCAATTGATAATGAAAAAATTCTCTATCATGTCATCTGTTTTCATCAAACATTACAACACCGTTGACAGGAATACAAAACATCCTCTCGCAGCCCAGTCCTCCATCTTGGACATGAAATAATCAATTATTGCTGTCTGACTACTAATGTCAATGTCAAGAGATAAAAACAGAAAAAAGTGACATCATGATTTGAAAATACCCATCTGGCGTTTCCATAACCACTTGATATTAACTTGATAATCACATCGCAATCATGATCAGTGAAATCTGATACTGATAATCACCACTGATAACAAGATTTGCCAGTCTATCATGGAGTTTTATATTACCATCCATCAACAATTCGTTTAGAAGAATCATTGTCATTAATTTCGAAACAGAATGTAACCTTCGCCCACATTTAAAAAATGACCGAGTTTTTCCCGTTTGGAAATAATTATGCCATTTATCTGTTTATTACTTTTCAGACTTCTAATTTAGGATTGATTGTGACATAAATAACATTATCCTATCATCTGTTTATGTTTCTATCTTCAAAGTTAGGTGCTGGTCACCAAAATAAACTGTTTGCCGTTGACATTTGTTTGAAATATTCAAGTGGTAACTGACAGTATTTACAGCAATATGTCAATTATCAACACCATGAGTACTGTTGATGAACAAATATTATTGGAGTACGTGACTTGATGGTGATATTAGGGACTTGTCATTTATCATTGGTAGTGGTGATTGAGAGAATGGGGATTTGGGAGGGTCACCCAAAATATATAAATATTTTCTATTTTCATAAAACTTATTACATATACCGTATATTATCGTAGATAAGTCAAAGTTTGAAGACCAAAAAAAGCCGTCTGTAGAAGGGGGTCAGCTTATCTACGGTAACACTTTCATCAAACTTTTTTTCTGGTGATCAGGAAGAAAACGACATCATATCGTTTCGCGTGAATGAACAAGAGAAAATGATTTTGTCAGTGAAGACTTCAAATTTGCAACTAAACATCACTAGACATGATTATTTACCTTTACAGTTCTAATTTGTTATTTACTAGACATTGTACTATATGCAGGGATTAAGATTACTTTGTGTATTTGTCTCGTATATAGAGACATAGGGAACATAGGGAGGGTTAAAGGAAAATGCACATTTCATAATAAAATATATATAAAATTGTGTTGTTTAGAAGGGTCATGAAAGAGTGAGTGAGTGAGTGAGTTAAGTTTTACCCCACACTCAGCAATATCCCAGCTATATGGCAGCGGTCTGTAAATAATCGAGTCTGGACCAGACAATCCAGTGATCAACAGCATGAGCATCGATCTGCGCAATTGGGAACCGATGACATGTGTCAACCAAGTCAGCGAAACTGACCACCCCGATCCTGTTAGGCGCCTCTTATGACAAGCATAGTCGCATGGGTTGACAAGCATGGGTTGCTGAAGACCTATTCTACACCGTATCTTCACGGGTCGGTCATGAAAGAAATGCACTCGACCTTCCTGCAATAAATAACAGGTCCCCTTTACATTTGTAATCTAGTTTTAGCGCCAGTTGTGGCTTCATTGTTTAAACTCCGCTCTGGGCAGCTTATCCAATCAATGGTAGGCTCAAACATCCATTTACAATCAGGTATTGACTAGTAAATATCTTGTTGGTTATTCGGTCAATACTGCTTCAAGGACTCCTTAGTCTAACACCAGATGTGACAAGTGTTGAATTTCTCACGGAGGACAGTGTCAGGGTGATGTATTTAGTTATGACTAACCTCACGGACCACGAGTCATTTTTCATTAATGTATTTTACATAATTATCATCAGCATTATGAATCTGGAACTGTGAACCCAGCCTCATGTGATTCTGACATACACTGTGGATATATTAATGTGATGGCGAGATGACGGGATTTAATGTCCATTTAAGATTATTGCGTTTCGATTTCGATGTGCATGTACGTTTGTGTTGTGTGTGCACGTGTGTGGGTGAATGCATGTCAGTAATGTACCAGTACAGATTCCTGCAGATATAATTACTTATTAAAATCTTGTAAACAGAACATTCGTAATCAGCTTATGCATGATGTGCTCATTATAAACCTATGTCACAATGAAGCAGAAATGTGCATCCAATTGACACATGGATGAGGAAACAAATATACTACATCCCGAAGAACACGCAGTTATATTCTCTGTACCAAACTGACATGACATGTGTTACTGGTTGGCAGTAAGACCTTTAACAAATGGTACCTCATGGTAATAATTCATGTTACCCTTGAGGACTTTGGTTATTTCCCACATGCATTATACATGATGTCTCCTTAGGCAAGACACTTTGTTTCAAATATGCCTCTGCTCATCTAGCAGTGAATGGGTACCCGGCGAGATGAGACAGTAGGATGACATAGTCTTTCACAGGAAGCTGAAAATGGAGTGCACACTGATCCACATACTGGACTTTTAATCTGGAGCCATGAGCAATAACTAGTGAATGTAATCTGGTGAATCATAAACAGACCATAGCATTCACTGTATTACAACATTCTTACCAATTCACTACCATAGCAACGCAAAGGAAGTGACGCCACCATCTCAATCTGTCCGATCCATAACTTCAAACCTTCTCTTGCTTCTGACTTCAATACATATTCAGTTATTATCTGCATATCATATTTCAATTTGGACTCAAAGCAAAGGTATGGTGTTGAATATGTCTGAAGTATTTATCAATATGGAATGGACATGTAAAACACTGGTAAATCAAAGATGCTGTTACAGCTGCTCATAAAGTATTACTTAATTTGAAAATGCATCTTATGATCACACATTCAAAATGCAAAAAATATTTTCAAAAATCTAAAGACTGCTTCAGTTAAGTTGTCACATGTCTGATGTTCTCCCTGATATATAGTTAGTTTGGAGGTAAATAGTATTGTTTGTACTTTCAGGTCTGACTGGGACATTGCCGATTTCCGAGTTGACGTAGAAGCTGACCAAGTCTTTCACAATGAATATGAATATCAGCAACGAATCCCTTGTGGCATCCATGCTGGAACACATTACCTATGACTACATCGGTCCAGCCATCTGCGTGTTCGGGATCCTCTGCAACATCCTCAACCTTCTAATTCTCACAGAGCATTACCTAAAAGAGTCTCCTTACTCTTATCTCACTGCAATGGCATGTGTTGACTTAGGTGCTTTGGCCTTGACCTTCATATACTTTGTGTTCGCTCGTAACCAGCCATTCAGTTACTACTGGCGTTTTTTTGAGGCCCACTTGTACTACCCTCTTGTAAATATCTGTTCCAATTCCAGTGTCTGGTTGATTGTCATGCTCACTATCGAACGATTCCTGTTTGTCTGTTACCCGATCTGGGCCAAAATATACTGTAACCGAACTGGCGCCAATGTGAAAATTGCCATCATTATTACCTGCGTCGGCATCATAAACATTCCAAGATTCCTGGCTTTCCGTGTGGAATATAGGTACAACCCCCGACGACCCGAAGTACTACCTGTTTTCCACCGACTTTAGAAAGACTCAGTTATTTACCATCATCAACTGGTTCTACAGCATCATCATTAACTTCATCCCCCTCACCGTGCTCTGCATCTCCAACGTCTACCTGGTATACGCCGTGCAGCGAGCGCGGCGCCAGCGCCAGGTTCTCCATATCCGAAACAACAAAGAAGCCACATGGAACCGAGAACAAATGCGACTCACGATAACCCTCATCAGCATCGTGTGTCTGTTCATCATCTGCGTCATGCCATCTGCTTTCGCTGACCGTCCAAGTGCATACGCTCTTTTTGGTAATGGACGTCCCATAGCTGAATTCCTGCGGTCCACATCATACAGGATCCTTCAGATCGTCTCTAATGTCCTCATCTGCTGCAACCTGTCACTTAACTTCGTCCTATACTGTGCATTCAATGACAAGTTTGTGCGAGTATTCAAAATGATGCTGAATCGATGGCGAAAGTCGTTACGGACACGTTCTCGTGGCAAACAGTTTCAGAAGGTACGAGTGAAGAAGACAGCTCTTAATGGGAACATTTCCTTGTCCAGCAGCGCCATCAGCAGCCAGAGTTTGTCTCAGCCATCTCGCATGACCACAATGGCGTAAACAGTCAAGTCAACGATTACCATTCATGATGACAATGGCATGAAACATCTAACTGAACAATTACTGACAACAGCATGAAACAGACACTGTTTATGTGAACAATTACCATTTAAGACGACAATGGGTTTGAAACATCTAAGTGAACATTTACCATTCATGATGACAATGGCATGAAACATCAAAGTGAACAATTACCATTATGATGACAATGGCATGAAACATCACAGTGAACAATTACCATTATGATGACAATGGCATGAAACATCCGAGTAAACAATTACCATTATATGACAATGACATGAAACAACAAAGTGAACAATTACCATTTATGATGACAATGATATGAAACATCAAAGTGAACAATTACCATTTATGATGACAATGACATAAAACATCCGAGTAAACAATTACCATTTATGATGACAATGACATAAAACATCAAAGTGAACAATTACCATTCATGATGACAATGACATAAAACATCCGAGTAAACAATTACCATTTATGATGACAATGATATGACTAGACTAGCATCTAACAGTCATGACAACAGTGGAGTGAAACAGTCGATACTACATGACCATGTTTCAGTCACGATTCAGCAGGTCATTTATGTGAACAGGTGATAATCCTTAATGTGAATATGACAGGTACCTTTGAAATTCTTGGTTAGAATTTGTCTTCAATGCTTGTTATAAGAGGCGACTCAGGTGGCCAGGTGGTCAGGCTTAGTGACTTGGTTGATCCATGTCATTGTAGCCCAGATCGCTGCACATGATGTAAATCACTGGATAGTCTGGTCCAAAGTCAATTTTTTTACAGTCTGTCACCACATAGCTGGAATATTGCTAAGTTTGGCATTAAATAATATGAACCAAAAATGAAAATGATGGGAGAGCTATTAGAAATACTAGCCAAAGGGGCTTTATTACTGAGAAGGTGAGGTGAGGTGAAATTGGGTTTATCGTCGTGCTTGAGAATATTTCGCTTATATGACGACGTGCATGCGTGTGTATGTGTATGTGCGGCTGCTTGTACTAGCCCAGACTGAAGCTGGTTTTATAGTGCTAGCCCACTGAGATACCATGCCACAGTGAAGCATGAATACCCTACTCAGACACATTATACTGACTCTGAGCCGACCAGTCCTTGTTATACCAATTAATGCCGAGCGCCAGGCAGGGACCAACAAGTACCATATTTTAACGTCTTTTGGTATGATGCGGTTGGGGATGAACCCGCGACCTTCCGCTCTCCGGGCGGACACTCTAACCACTACACCACAGAGTTACTGAGAAGGGCTGGTGTTATCAAATGGCAGTCCTAAGTACTACAGTGAACATATTCTTGCTACTAACATTAGCTGCCTCAATCACATCAGAGATGGGACCTCACAAGCCACAGGCTGATAATACATGTATGTGATTGAGAGTAAGACTGACAACATGGTCAGTGTTTATGTTTCCATTTACATGTTTACAGTCATATTTTGCTGATGCCATGCTAAGACAATCAACACTCATTGCTTTCACTGAATAGAAAATACAATATTCATAAGGCAGATTGAATTAGTGCTCAGAACACCATCTTGACTACAAGAAGAGGCCATACTGAGCTGATCCAGAGTTACAGAACACCATCTTGGCTGGAAGAAGAGGCCATTCGGTGTTGAACCAGTGTTACAGAATACCATCTTAGCTAGAACAGACGGTCATTCGGTGTTGAAGCAGTGTTACTGAACGCCATTTTAACTACAACGGGAGGCCATGCTGAGTTGACAAAGTGTCAGAGAACACCATCTTCACTACAACAGGTGTCCAAGCCGAGCTGAATCAGTGGCATGAAACAGACAGAACACCATATTGCTAGAACAGGAGGCCATGGTGAGTTGAACCAGGAGGCCATGGTGAGTTGAACCAGGAGGCCATGAGTTGAACCAGGAGGCCATGGTGAGTTGAACCAGGAGACCACGGTGAGTTGAACCAGGAGGCCATGGTGAGTTGAACCAGGAGGCCATGAGTTGAACCAGGAGACCACGGTGAGTTGAACCAGGAGGCCATGGTGAGTTGAACCAGGAGGCCATGAGTTGAACCAGGAGGCCATGGTGAGTTGAACCAGGAGACCACGGTGAGTTGAACCAGGAGGCCATGGTGAGTTGAACCATTCTTACAGAATACCACCACCTTGACCGAAGGATCCCCAGCCGAGTGCAGCCACACTGAACACCACCTTGCCAGAAGAATCCAAGACCAGAGAGAGCACTTACAGGCTGTATGAATTCCAACTGCTAGACTTTGTCAGTCTCTTGCCTCACTGGGACAAACATTGGAAAAGGAAGCGACAATCCACAGCCCTTGGACAGTACTGTCATACATCAAGAACTTTGTCACATCACTTTACAAAGCATGAACCAGAATGGAAGTTACCATTTGCAGTGTTGTACACTCCCCAAAATTTCGGCCAGACAACTAGTCTGGTAACTCTCAAAAGTTACCAGACCGGCTGGAAAGTTACCAGTCCAGAATTTTCAGGATTAAGATAAAATATAGGAGGTAAATAGGAGGAGGGAACTGTTTAATGCAAGGTTATTGTCACAATAACACGATTTTAAATGTTTTTAGTCATTATATACATTACAAAACTACGCTGATTCAACAGCCAGACCATCGGGCGTGCAACTTTTTTAAAATGACCGTCCGGTAGCAAAACAGACCGTCCCGGACGGTTGGGCAGGCGGGAGTTTGCAACGCTGCCATTTGAAACTAGCAGCATATAGCCAGAAAGTCCTGCTTTCTGATTGGGTAATGTCGACTGCACATGAGCAGTTCAAACAGGTGACATGTGCAAAAGTCTGACTTAAATGAGATTTAAATTTATTTGTTTTATTTGTTTTCACAAATCTGTCTGTATTGTAATTTCACCAGATGATTTTTTTGTTTTCACTGAGTCATTTGTGTTCCGAGATTCCAGGGTAATGAGTGGTATAAACTCTCATATCACACGCACAAGGGCCTTCCATGTTGTTAATTTGTCTGTACTGCAAGATACTGATTACATACTTGTCTAAGCAACCAATTCAAGCCATTTTGATAAACATAACTTCGTATTTCAACATTTAGTCGATTCTCAATGTATGTTCTATGATAACTCTTTTTTAAGAACTGAAACCTTGTATGAGATCAATATAGTTCAAAGTAACTATTGATATTTTTTTGTATAGAGTGTATATATATTTATGAGTCAATTAATTAACTCAAAGCTCAAGTACTTATTTCAAGAAAGTATGTATGTTTATGCTGCGATGAAACTCATTCTTACTAATCACTACTGCACTGTACAAATTATTTCACTTAATATTGTTGCACATTCTGTTTGTTTTGTTTGTTTTTTGTTGTTGTCATGGTTATAATCAGTGAAGGTTGTCTTATAAATATATTGATATTTGCAGGTCAATTAGATGAGAAACACAAACACATACAACCAGATCTTACAGAAAATACAATGTATTGTTGTTGTCATAGCAACAATGGTAGTCCATATCAACAGAATGTCTCTGACTAATGGAAATGTGTTAATTTTGAACACTGACTAAACAAGATGAAATCAAATCTTGAAGTGAGAGGTTTAACTTCTGTTGAGGGGGTGGTGGGGTAGCCTAGTGGTTAAAGCGTTCGCTTGTCATGCTGAAGACCCGGGTTCAATTCCCCACATGGGTACAATGTGTGAAGCCCATTTCTGGTGTCCCCCGCCGTGATATTGCTGGAATATTGCTAAAAGCGGCGTAAAACTGTACTCCTTATTCAGTCACTAACTTCTGATGAAATTTGAATTTCAGTTTCAGAGTGATATAATCCAAAATACATGATTTATGGCAGTGAGGTAGAATTTCATAGGAATTGCTGTGTTCCAAGATCATTGCCCCTATATAGCAATTGCCCCTATATAGCAATCTGTGTTTCCAACTTTGGCCCCTCCCAGAATAGAATGTGTACATCACATTTACAGGTCCTCAGTAGAAGTCTCCTTTCAAAAGAATATCATAGACCCAATTACGATGTACAGCAACAGACTCCCCTAAAATGAAAATAAAGGTTTAGGAAAACTAAAAAAACACATATTTTCAGGGGCAGGGGTGGAAATAACTTTAAAATTGCCAGTGTAGTGTGGTACAATGGCACATGTAAAATCACTTGCCGTGATATACAAATTCGCTTGCCCAGCAGAAAAAAAACACTGGACTGGGACGTCAGGCAATGGGTTATTTCCACACTTGAGGGGGCCAAAGTAAAAAGTCTTTTTGTATTGTTCTTAAATAATTTTACAAGTTCTACCTTGTGTAATAAAGATTGAATCCAAATGTGTTGCCTGTCCTATAAGTATATTTTTGATACGATCAGTTTTTGTGTAGATAAAGTGACTGGTGTTTACCTCAATCATGTTAAAATATTGCATTTTATGATGCTGGTTTTGTGTGTAGTATTTTAATTTGTTGTACTTTGAAGATAAAACTATATTTTCTTTGTAACTGGCTCATGTAAAAATGATTCACAATAACGAAATGTTATAAGCAGACCATACTACTAGCACTACATCTGTATGCTTCAGTCGGCTATGAATAAATCCTGGTAAAAGGTTTTTTAAAATCTGCATATGGAGATATACATGCTATTTTTACCATATGAGGTTGTGGATAGGACATATCGGAATACATTGGAGTATTGAAATACTGTAAACATACTTTTTCTCGCTTGGTGCAAATGTCGCGGAATTGACAGACATCGGGGGGTCAATTCTTCGCGCCATCAGTAATTGCAATGAAAACAACCAGAGTGACTTAACCTGTCAGGCGGCGTGTATTGCTTACTCACAGGAAATCCCTACCTGCGTGATATATACAGTGATACGTTTACTCACGGAAGTATTAAGTACTTAGGAAGTGAGATATTGTGATGCAAATATAAAGAGATGAAAAACACATCAGTCTTATGTTCCGAATTCTGACGATCATTGCAAAATTGACTATCAAGGAAATGAACTTCTACTGTATATGAAGCTTTTTGTGATTTCATTTCGTGATATGCCGGAATAAATATAAATAAAATCTTAATTGCGGTAAAATATATTGCGCGAAATAAAACCTGCGCGATATATAATTCGTTTACAGTAAGTGCGATTGGGTGTGGTGGTGAAATGGGGTTTAAAAGACATACTTAACAATATTTCGCTTACATGAAGACATGCATGCATGTGTATGTGTGGCTGCTTGTACTAGCCCAGAGTTAAGGTGGTTTTATAATGCTAGCTCACTGAAATACCATGCCCAGTAAAGCATGAATACCCCACTCAGACAGATAATAGTGACGCCGAGCCAACCAATCCTTGTTGTACCCATTAATGCCAAGACCCAGGCAGGTACCAACAAGTACCATTTTTTAAAGTCTTTTGGTATGATGCAGCTGGGGATTGAATCCGCGACCTTCCACTCTCCGGGAAGACGCTCTAACTACTACACCACAGAGGCGGTCGAGATCGGCCGTGACATCATGTTCAAGATTATTATACTAACGCGCGTTTGTCTGTCTCGGGTTTATCTATCTTCTTAATGCCAAGCACAAGGCAGGGTAACTACAAGTACCATCTTTAAATGTCTCTTCTTTTCTCCAGGCAACCGCTCCATGTAATCATCCATGGAAGCGGTGACTGAAGTAGCACTAAGTTTCAAGTCTGAAGGGATACAATGATCATCCAGGTTATGATGTAGAAAATGTTGAAACAGCTGCAGCAGTACGTTGGGCCTTAAATATTGTTTTACTATGACTTGACTGTTCTGTGATAACTGTTGTGTTAAGTGATACAGCTGTTCTGAATAAACCAGTTTGTTATAGTACAGTTAAATATCACTGAAATAAAGTTAAGAAAAATCTGTTCTATTGCAATTTGTGTGTTCATTTCTTAAACATAGAGGCGATCCTACCATGACTGATTCAGTCATCGTCTGTTGATCACTCCAAAATGACTCAGCCATGGTTTGTAGATCTTTCTAGACCGATTCAGCCATGGTCTGTTGATTTCTCTAGACCAACTCAGCCATGGTCTGTAGATCTCTCTAGACCAACTCAGCCATGGTCTGTAGATCCCTCTAGACCAACTCAGCCATGGTCTGTAGATCCCTCTAGACCGACTCAGCCATGGTCTGTAGATCCCTCTAGACTGACTCAGCCATGGTCTGAAGATCACTCTAGACCAACTCAGCCATGGTCTGTAGATCCCTCTAGACCAACTCAGCCATGGTCTGTAGATCACTCTAGACCAACTCAGCAATGGTCTGTAGATCCCTCTAGACCAACTCAGTCATGGTCTGTAGATCCCTCTAGACCAACTCAGCCATGGTCTGTAGATCTCTCTAGACCAACTCAGCCATGGTCTGTAGATCACTCTAGACCAACTCAGCAATGGTCTGTAGATCCCTCTAGACCAACTCAGTCATGGTCTGTAGATCCCTCTAGACCAACTCAGCCATGGTCTGTAGATCTCTCTAGACCAACTCAGCCATGGTCTGTAGATCCCTCTAGACCAACTCAGCCATGGTCTGTAGATCTCTCTAGACCAACTCAGCAACGGTCTGTAGATCCCTCTAGACCAACTCAGCAACGGTCTGTAGATCCCTCTAGACCAACTCAGCCAAGGTCTGTAGATCCCTCTAGACCAACTCAGCCATGGTCTGTAGATCCCTCTAGACCAACTCAGCAACGGTCTGTAGATCACTCTAGACCAACTCAGCCATGGTCTGTAGATCACTCTAGACCAACTCAGCCATGGTCTGTAGATCCCTCTAGACGAACTCAGCCAAGGTCTGTAGATCCTTCTAGACCAACTCGGCCATGGTCTGCAGATCACTCTAGACCAACTCAACCATGGTCTGTAGATCCCTCTAGACCGTCTCAGCCATGGTCTGCAGATCCCCCAAGTCCACCTCAGTCTGATGACACACAACTCACACACGCCCTCCTGATGTGTGAAGCAGCTGAACCCAAGGAAGACCTCACTCAATGTAAGCAATACCTCATTCATGAACTTAGGAGTAGAATGTGACTTTAACAAACGAGAGATGGAAGCAGTTGATAAATCAGATCCACTTATAGTTGAAAGGAAATGTTTATCTCAACAAGTCTGTAGCTGTAACTGGTAACAGACTCTTGTTTTAATGCTTATATTATTAACATTCAGGCAGTGGGACAATATGTGTTATATCCTACGCATTCTTTTCCCCAGCCACTAGGGATGCCACGATACATCGATGCATCGATATTTAGTTTTGAAAGTATCGGTTTAAATATGTTTATGCATTGTTTACATTTTGCAATTGTATCATGTTTTTTTATGTTATGAGAGTTATAAATAATTATTTTTCATGCACAAAGAGGGGAAATTAGAACTTTTTAATCTCTGAGAATAAAAAATGTTGATCTTTTCATGGACAATTATAAAATATGAAATATTAATGTTCAAAATGTAACTAAATTACGTGACAATGCCGTGAAAATAGGTATCATGATACGTATCGAATCGTGACATGGGTATTGTGATACGTATCGATTCATGAAACTTATGCATCGTGACATTCCTACCAGCAACAGAGAATTCCATCAAACCTGGTGCTTTTTCTTTAAATTCTAAGCTACCCACCAGTATAGCTTAAACTACATAGTACATAACATGTCTCCTGCAGGTGACTGTTTCAACCTGCAAACCTCACTCCATCTCTCACCCGTGAAGATCCGGGTTAGAATTAAGAGTGAGTGAGTGAGTGAGTTTAGTTTTACGCCGCACTCAGCAATATCCCAGCTATATGGCGGCGGTCTGTAAATAATCGAGTCTGGACCAGACAATCCAGTGATCAACAGCATGAGCATCGATCTGCGCAATTGGGAACCAATGACATGTGTCAACCAATTCAGCGAAACTGACCACCCAATCCCATTAGTCGCCTCTTACGACAAGCATAGTCGCCTTTTATGGCAAGCACATGTGTTGCTGAAGACCTATTCCACCCCGGATCTTCACGGGTTGTTAGAATAAAGAAAGAGAAAGGGAGGGATGGAGGGAGAGACATTACACTAGTCTGTCGTACAGACCCTGAAGTAAATATATCCAAGAAAGCCCACGCAAGTCTAGAAAATGTGGCAAGTCTAGATTTCCTCAGCTTCTGAAAATGAAGAAAGTCTCAGGGCTCCTTTTCATTATATTTTGTTTTTTTTTACTATGAACTTTTTTTCAGTAAAACATGTTCATTTCAGAGATTAGTTGTTAGTCTAAGGGATTTGGGATTTGATCCAGGTCTTTGGCATGTCGAACAAAGCACTTAACCCTGTAGTAATCTTCCAAATCCACATGAAACAGTGCATGTATGTCAAACACTGACATGTAAAGCACCTTATCTTATGCACGAGGGCCACATGATAGTCACTATCAGCACAACACTTTGTCAATGATGCCATTATCAAACAATAAGAGTGCGCCCCCTGCACTGGTCTGTATCAAATGACCAAACTCTGTACAAGGCCATTGGCAAAGAACACATAAAGTGCGAAATTGAAATAACCTAAACATCAAGTTATTAACCTGTGACCTTGTCTTGGAGGAATAAAGATAAGAGCTGACAGGTCGGAGTGACCTTCTGGCTGAACAGTTTATCATCCTTTAGAAATGTGCAGCTTGACAGTACGTGAATTATGTTGGGCCTTAAAAACACATAAAATGATGAATCTGGTAACGGTATGTGCATCAATGTCTAATTTTGGTGGAGAGTAAACATGGTAAAATTTATGGGTATTCAAACTCTTTGCAATTCTAAACACAGAATCAAGAGCCGGACAGGCATTTAAACATTGCCAAGAGCCTGTGACCACGTGCACGAAGAGATCTTAGCTTTATGACTGTTATAACTCTTCGTTTGAGTATGGGAGCTACGGCTACTGTAGGGAAGATGCCTAAGGGATGCAATGCTGTGGAGAAACTTGTTGTGTCTGAGTTATCTGAGACCCCAAACAAGAGGAGGAGGAGAAGATGATAATTTAAAGGGGGTCACCCATTTTGTTCCGGAGAGGTAGGGGGGGTACGCAATTTGGTACACGTGTACAAGCGAGGGGTGGGGTGGGGTGTCAGCAATTTTGTACATAGAAATTATTAAAATTTATGCTTAGAAATTATGGGAAGGAAAGGGGGGTCATTGATTTTATACATGACATGCAGGAAGGGTCACTTACTTTGTACATAAATTGTAGGGGGGTCATTCACATTGTACATGTTTCTCCATAAAAATCATCATCAGCCCCCCTAGCCATAAATTATTAACGGTCCCTTACTACAGAAGTATGTTATAACACCACCACCACAACAAAGATAGGTTTAATGTAGAAATAAGGCTGAACAACTTAACAACAGCAATGATAATAATGTTTCCAACAGAAATATACCACAAGTTTACTGTAGAAATATGGCTTAATATCACCACAACAAGTTTACTGCAGAAATATGGCTTAATATCACCACAACAAGTTTACTGCAGAAATATGGCTTAATATCACCACAACAAGTTTACTGCAGAAATATAGCTTAACATCACAACAAGTTTACTGCAGAAATATGGCTTAATATCACCACAACAAGTTTACTGCAGAAATATGGCTTAATATCACCACAAGTTACTGCAGAAATATGGCTTAATATCACCACAACAAGTTTACTGCAGAAATATGGCTTAATATCACCACAACAAGTTTACTGCAGAAATATGGCTTAATATCACCACAACAAGTTTACTGCAGAAATATGGCTTAATATCACCACAACAAGTTTACTGCAGAAATATGGCTTAATATCACCACAAGTTTACTGCAGAAATATGGCTTAATATCACCACAAGTTTACTGAAGAAATATAGCTTAATATCACAACAAGTTTACTGCAGAAATATAGCTTAACATCACAACAAGTTTACTGAAGAAATATGGCTTAATATCACAACAACATGTTTACTGCAGAAATATAGCTTAATATCACCACAAGTTTACTGCAGAAAT